AACAAATAAATACATTGTTGCATAGCAGCTTCATACATACAATACATACGTACGTAAGTGGGAGAACTCCTCGTAATTACAAAATTGGCAAATCGGAAATATCTTGTAGTGTTCGTTTTCTGCGAAAATGTGGTAGCGCAGTATCGAGACACCCTCGCACATGCCTCCGTACGGTGTTCCCTTTTAAGTGTCGTGATTGTACTTTGTACCTAAAGGGAAAAGGGCGTAGTAGTTGCATGCGAATTTATGTAACACACAGAAGAGAACGATGCCGACCTCCAAAAGTATATTTATTCTTGATTAGTATAACAAGACGAGGGACGGAGGGAGTACAAGCGTTATAATTACCAATCTTGTTATACAGATTCCCCTAAGCCGTACGCAGACCAGGTTAATGTTATTTTCTGGTGCAACCCAAATTCTCCTCAAGTTTTCCTCTTGTTGTTTTTCCTACACCATAAATAAAACCTTGTGTCCAAATTTCATCTTTCTAGCTCACAAATAAACATTTCGACAAACTATTGGCATGGCCGTCCATGTTGATCTGGTTTCAACTATCTAAATTTCTAGTCTTTCTGCCGCCAATTTATTTTATTTTATACTGCGTCTGCATTTAATTCTACAATTTATCATTCTAAATTACTCCACGAAGCTTTTGTTGTCTCACTGATTGATCTACGTCCGGACGAATTCTCAACAAATAGTCTCTGCGTTGCATCTGCCGCCGCACACACACACACAAGCATATATAAAAATATATACAAACACACATGCAATGAATCTCATTTGTTGCGCTTCGTTTCTCATTTTAATATTATTTTTGGAAATTTTATATGTTGCCCTTTTGGGAGTCCCCCCTTTTTGCTGCTGCACAACCCGGACTCCCACCCTTTTTCATCTCTACCCCATTCTGGGCTGCGTAGCCGAAACTGTTGATGTCTTTATTGCAGTTATTATGCGCTGTTCACATTATAATTTTCATTTCGTTTTCATTCAGTTCATCTGCAGATCTGGCATCTTCACGCGCCTCTGACTGTCTATAATTGGATGTCTGCCTTGTTGCTCGGATTTGGGCTCCCGATGGTCTTGTGCGGGTGTGCACTTTCAATCAAGATCACTTGTGATAAATCGGGGCCGTTGTGGGAATTGAAAGGCGTTGAGTGAGTGTGGGGTTTTCGCAGATGTTGACGCAGAAGTGAAACAAATAATACATAAATTTAAGCTTAACTAGCATACCTTTTTACCAATTCAGTACAGGCTATAAAAAACAGCACCTCAAATCTCGTCGCGCGCGATCAATTTATACAGATTTATAAACAAGAGAGAACGCTACAGTCGAGCAAGCCCGACAGTGGAATACCCTGTACCCAGGTAAACTTCCGTCACTGAGTTATATGCGCAGCAGCAAAAAGAAGAAGAAGAGCGAACTTGATGCTGCAGCTTGTGGGCGTAGTACTGGAGTGAAATTGTTTCGCTAAAACTATAGAATTGTATATAGATTATGTGTGCAAATTTGGTTAATGTAGCTTATTAAATGTGGACAGTATTGACAAAATTCTGTACCGGGGGAAGGAAATTCCAAAAAATAAAATAAACTCGTCTTTTCCGGACCTAGGACAATCTGGATACCAACTTTGGTTATTCCAGCTTTTATAGTTTCTGAGGTCCTTGCGTTCATCCAGACGGACAGACAGACGGACGGACTGGCGGACATGTCTAGATCGATTCGATAAAAAGGCATTCCCATTGATTCCCATTGGTAGCATTGAGTGGCAGAGTTAGTTAATAGTTTAATATCTTGTACATTTTGACACGCCACCAATACATACTCACAATTGATATTTAATTCGGCCTTTTAAAGTAATTGTTAAATTGCCAAAACGCACAGCTATAAAACTAAACTGTGCTTCTTTTTATACCCTGTACCCAAAGGGTACAAGGGTATATTAGTTTTGTGCGAGTGCACATGGAACACACAGAAGGAGGCTTGGTAGACCCCACAAAGTATATATATTCTTGATCAGCATGACAAGCCGAGTCGATATAGCCATGTCCGTCTGTCTGTCTGTCTGTCCGTCTGTCTGTCTGTATGAACGCAAGGATCTCCGAAAGTATAAGAGCTAGAATAACCAAACTTGGTATCCAGATTCTCCTGAGTCCGAGAAAGGACGAGTTTGTTCATTTTTCCCGATGCGACCCCCGCTCCACCCCTATTCAAGATTTCCTATAACTCCCGTAATTCTTGGAATTTTAAACTAGACACATCCAGTTAGTAATTATATATCCGTATACCAAGTTTCATTATGATAGGTTGATCAGAAAGAAAGTTATAGCCATATAACCATGCCCAATGCACACATACATACATATGTACAAGTACACAAACACGCATAGACACGATTCTGATGTAAATGTAAATGTATGTATGCATGTACGGAATATTTTATATTTAATCTAGATAATTAATTAAATTAATTTAATTAATTAAATTAAATTAATTTTATTTTTTGCGGGGTGGTACGGGGTATTGAAGAGTTGAGCCTGCTCGACTTTAGCATTGCTTTCTTGTTTTTTTTTTATACTCTGTGCATGAAATGAACAAGAGTATATTAGGTTTGCGGGAGCTGAAAATGTAACAGGCAGAAGGAGGCGTGGCAGACCCCACAAAGTATATATATTCTTGATCAGCGTGATACGACGAGTCGATCTAGCCCTGTCTGTCTGTCTGTCTGTCCGTCCGTATGAACACCTGGATCTCAGAGACTATAAGAGCTAGAGAGGCCAAATTTTGCACAAAGATGCCTTATGTGTGTACACTATACGAGTTTGTTTTATTTTTTTTGATTTTTCCCCCACTTCCCGGCTATGGGGGTTCACCGATTTTCCATTCGTATAATCGCCTATATCTCGGAGACTATGAGACCTAGGGACAAAAAATTTTAGTCCCAGATGCATTATGTGAATACGCAGAAAATTTGTATTTTGGAATTTCCCTCCCTCCCCCCTCTCCGCAGCAATACATAACTCCCTTAATTTTGTATTGAAATTCGAAAAATACCCCCCGTTAGTGATTATGAGTTCGTATTTCGAGTTTTATAACGATAGGCCGATTTAAAAGGAAGTTATAGCCATATATGTATTTATGACCAAGCAGTGACCGCAGCTATTGTTGTTGTTACTGCTTTGCACAGGCACACTGATACACAAAAACACACACATACACGCATAAATACGCATAATTATACTACACATATGTACAGAGTATTTCAAAGTCGGGATACTCGACTTTAGCTTCTCTGCTTTTTTTTTTTTTTTTTTTTTTTTTTTTTTGTTTTTGTAGTCATAACGAGAGCAAAAAACAAAGCTGACTTGAATAAAGTATACCCGACTTGCCTGTCCGGGCCTGTCAGTCAACTGATATGTCAGCACCCCAACTTCTTGCCAAAGCGTTTTGTGCATAAAGAAATTTTACAAATTTTTCGCAAAATTGCATAAATTAATTAAAAAGAACACAAAAACAAATATACTTCTCAGCCCAATGCTCGTACCATTGACTGGGTCTAACTGGGTCTGAATGGCAGACAGACAATGAAAGTCGACGTGGCGTTATGCAAACCAAATTGCTGTCACTAAATGGGCAATGCAGACATTTGACAGGGGCTAATAGCTAAGGTCAACAATTAAACTCAGTTTTTAGCCTATGTGAGTGAGGGGTCTGGCGCGGCCGCCGGCTGTCAGTTCACTCACTTACGCACCCACCCACTAGCTCGGCGTTCCGCGTCCCCTATTCAGTCCATACATATACGAGTATTATGTAAATATGGGTGTACATTCGACAAATGCGGAGCCGCTATTTGCAATGCATTAATTTTAGATATTTCCTTGGCCCTCACCCACCTCTCCACCCTTCAACATCACCCAATACGCATTTGAATTGATGCTGATGCCCAAAATCGAAAATGCTGCACAGGAAAAATCAATCGCCCGCACTGTCAGAGGGCCCGCATTTCCCGGGATTTTCACTGACTGCAGCCGCTGCTACTCTCGATAGACAAAAGCATGAGGCATTAGCTTGAAAATAGGCATGTTGGCTGCATCGACATACGGAACATATTTCTGCCTTCGCTCTTACCCACCAATACACGAGTCCATGGCGCGTAGACTATGTAAATATTTGTCACGACCGCATGACAATGTTTGTGCAGACTTTGATTTGGAGCAGCGGCAATACAAAACAGTTGTCGAGCTGAGCATATAAAGTGTCCTCTGTCGCTGTTGTTGTCACAATATTTTGTTTACATTCCCCGTGTGTATTTGTATGTCGTTGCATTTCCGCTGCGAAAATACATAAATTCGACGCGCGCTTTAAGTCATTTTAAATGCATCATAGAAATATCTGAAAATAATAGTGGCACGAGCTGGGGGTTGTTCTGAGCAGCTTTGAGATCGTACTGGTGGAGGCCTCCAAGCGGATGATGCTGCACAAAGCCTTCTAACAACATTGTAGCTCGGTAGAGGGACGAGGGTTGACGGTCGATGCACTTGCAGCTGCGGCTATAGAGCAGGTCAGTCTAGAGACAGAACATCCACTATATCAGCTAGAAGCTAAATATTTATTTGTGATCATCACAAGTGTCTGTCTTGACATCCATAGCACCCAATAACTATTCTCATACCGTGTAACGGAAGGGCAAAAGGGCATACTAGTTTGTATGCAACTTTCCGGGAAAATATAAACACTAAAAGGCCCAAACTCGGTAAATTTCATTCTGTAATGATTATGTATTCTCATGTTAGGTTTCTAAACATGTTCAACTTTGAAGCGTTATAGCCAAAAATGTAAACTCTGGTTAGGTAATTCAGCACGTTTTTAGTCAGATCATCTTAGGCCTTTAGACTTGCTAATTTTATTTACTTCCAATCTTGTAGGCATTAAAGCTTAAGCTGCCAGATGTAAATAACTAATTCGGAATAAGTTGTGTTTGTTTTAAATCTTCCTTAAATCTTTCCATTTGTTTCAAAATTGTTAGCCGAGATGAAAACCATATCGTTCCATTCTCCTGAGGTCACCGAGCCGAGCAATCCCTCTAAGCTGTGCTATCGAAACTACCATAAAGGGTGTCTCGATGAAGAGCACAAACGGCGCGCAGATAATTTTGAGATGGATCTAGAAGACATAGCCGAGAGCTTGCAGAAGGTGATGCGCGTTTGCGGTTTAAAGGCGTGGCAGGTGAAACAGACGCGTCCGGCCATCAAACGCTCCTTTACCCACTATGACGAGATACGCCTGCGCATCGACCGTGTGCCACGCAAGCGTTTCTGTAAGGAGGATTTCCTACATGATATGGCGCATGAGGCAGACATGACGCGCATGGACTCTCAAATGGCCTATTCCATTGTGAAGCGCGCTTTCCGTGCCTATTACTACGGTACGGGGACAGAGGGACGGCGCATCAAAACAATGGCGAAGCAGGTTCGTCACCGCCAGGAGTGCTTATGGTTGCATGCAGCCAAGCGCACGGCTGAAGTGTTCGCCGCTTACACTGGTCTCATGCATTCGGAGCAGCAGCAATACCTGGAGCGCATCGAATGTATCTACAAAGGTCTCTACCAAGCTATTCAGCGGCGACTTATATACGAGGACGATCTGATTTGCCCGTGCTGTGGCAAACCAAAAAAATCTAGTGTACCCTTATCAAGGAACCCCTCTGCGGCTGAGCTACAAGCATCGCCATCGGTGGACTCGGAGCCCATGGAGGTGCTGTATGTGAAACAGAGTCTGCTACTGACTGGTGCAGACTCCAGTTTATCCGTTCGGCTGGAACATGTGGCCATGGTGAAGGGCACTTTGTCAACAACCAATTCAAAGTTTCAATTGAAGCCCTTGTCGAACACCCCATCAAAGACGTCGACGAGATCGCTATCAAAGACGTTATCCAAACAGCCTTCGCATGAGAGGGAGCAGCGACCTAAATGCACCTGCCCGTCCATGTTAGGTGATCGCGAGTTCACAACGGAGGCGCCGGAGATTACTGCCGAGTGCAGTCAGGGCCCGTACACATGCCGCTGGCTGCCATTCGAGGAAGATTTCACAGAACATTTTGTGCCCTGCCCGCCAATGGATCAAATTTGTCCACCCTGTGTAGATGGCGACACTCCTTGTGATAGTGAGTGCACGTGCACTTGCCAGTATTGTCATTGCCGGCCTGCTTATGATGTAGGTGGTGAGGAAGAGCATTACAATGAAAAGTGGTCTGCTTCAGGAGTGGAGGATCATGATACTGACTTTTGTTTTTTGGCTCCATTCCGCGATTCAACTATTATATGTGATGATGTATCAGAGGAGGCTGAAGAGGAGTTCGAAATGCAATCTGATGAGGAAGAACCTTTCAAATGTGCTTGTGTCTGTGAATACAAGCAACGCGCATATCCACACCTATTCACCTATCTTGCATCCTTCAAGCTTGAGCCCCAAGCAGGGCAAGGCCAGGTACCAACTCAACTTGTAACCAAAGAAAATCAAGAACCTCAAAAACCTCGGTGTGACATTTCGCCGGAAACCTATCGATGTTGGACGCGGCCTACGCCGACACCAAGTGAAGACAAAAGTATGGAAAGCTCACCACCTCATTTGACAGTTCTTGGAGAAAGACGCAGAATGTCACCCGAGGCACCAACTACCATCTCTGTCATGGTCAAGAATCAGCATCACCAGGATACAGCTATAGCCCAGAAGACTGTCACGCTGTCTAAGACGAGTAAAGTGAAAAGGAATTCTATGTCTAAAATAAAAGTGCCAGTTACTTTGCCCCCGCATGCTGCAGCACCAGCATCCACCCCCAAATCTTTGCCAGCAGCTTCTTCGAAGCCCACACCAGCTCCAACTCCTTCAGCTGCTGATAAGATAGCAGCTGCTGCTAAGCCTGCAGAAGTAGCCCCAAAGCAACCTGCAAGTCAGCCGTCACGTAAAGCCGAACCCGCACCAGTAGCTGAGCCAGAGCTCACAAAAGAAGATATTTTAGACATTATTGGACTAAAGTAATCCAAGAAAATTCAATAAATGTGATTCAATATGTTTTGGAAAAAGGGAAAAAGAATTGATGTAAAGATACGATATATCCCGACAAACGACAAAAGAAGTGGCCTCCCGCCCAATCTTTTTTTATATACGAGTATGTTAAGTATATAAGTATAAGTATATTAAGTATCCCAATATTGATGAGACAGTTATGGTTTAAATAGTCATTTTTCTGAAAATATGCACAATATGAGTGAAAATGCGTTATGAAGTTACATATGAAACACATACAAGTATAAAGTGTTTGTTTTTATATTCTAATTTATTTTCTAAATTTATTTTCTCTCGTGACTACAATCAAATATTACTCAAATAACAATTCAATGGTTTCCCTTTGCGGAATTCAAATGCCTCGAGTAAAGAAATTGCACGAAAAGATGGACAGAGCGTTTGTTGGTGGCCTGCGTGGATCCATTCTGGGAGTTCTATGAAGTTCTTCGGTAATTTGTTCACGACTGCGTACATTTTCCAGAAGTAGTTGCTTTTACATCGCCAGCATTTTAATAATTCAGCATTAGTTAGAGGACAACATTCAATCATTGGATGACCCATTATTGCAGATTGAGGGTTGAAGGGCTATCATAAAAATGTCCTAAACACACATACGTGTATGCACATATCTACATACATACTTGTTGTTTTTGCAAAGTTATTTGATATTTTGTCAATGCTCTATACAAATTTTAAGTGCGTGTGCGAACTATCAATTGGTGGCCAAATTATAAAGCACACACTCGCTCGAATGGCCGATGCTGATGTATGTTTGCGTGTTTTATGGAAACAAGGCATCTGCTGACAGACGTGCAGGGTAGGCGGGGAAGGCGGGCCCGGCTTTTACTCTAACTGGGAAAACATGGGAAATATTATACAACACGCACTTACTGAGAGAGCTGCAATCAAAAATGGCAACAAAACATATCAAAAGGACAGCAACAAAAACTACTATTTTGACACACGATATTTGTATTGTGATTGTGTCCAAACTATGACAGCGAAGGACACGCCACAATGGGCCAGCATTTGTGGCCTGTAAATTATAAAATATTTGCATTGTCAATAGTTCGTTTTCTGTTTGCTTTTTTCCCCTCCAAACCTTGTTAAAAACAAATCACGTAGAGGCTGGCCTTTTGTGTCAAGAACTTTATCTTAGCCCGTAACTGTATACAAGTTGTAAGGGATTGTCTGACATTTGCCGGCGTCCTGACAAGGGGCTCTAAAAGTTTTTGGGACAGACGCTTTTAAGCATAAAATTGTTTGGTCATAACTTTTAGCCGCATTGTCCTGTCGATGCAGCTGCTGGACATGTCAATGTCATGGCTCCTGCCCATGGTGGACCTTTGCCTATCAACTAGCATCTTCACGATTCAGCATGCTGCTGGGCAAGGCTATTAAACAATTCCTGGCCAAGAACTCTCTTACTCTCTACGAGTATGTGATTGGTGTAGCCTCCTCTCTTGACTTGCCCGCCGGTTTCGCCACCAGTCGCCAGTCGCCGTCGCCTCTCAAATGCCAGCGCGTCTTGTTATGACGCGCATTGCTCATTAACACGAAACTAATTAATTGCGCAATTCAACTAAACTATCGTGTAGCAAGCTCAGCAGCAAAGCCCATTAAAGCCAGTTGATTGATCACCACCTTCGCCCACTCCTCTGTCTCCACTCCACTTCTTTTTATAGCTACATGATCTTGGGCTAACGAGCAGGGCAGCCTTGGCCGCCGTTGTTGCTGCTGCTGCTGCTGCTGCCACTGCAGCAATTGCATTTTAAACGCTAATTTATTGTTAACTGCAACATGTTGCTGGTATGCAAAAATGTTACCTGACATATGCAATTAATTGTAACAAGCCAGCTAGTCAGACAGTCAGGCATTCGAGCACTCAACCTTTAACGACTTCGCCTGTCTCGCCGTCTGCCTACAACGCTTCCACTGGAAACTGCAACGTGCGCTAAGTTGCTGCAATTTACGTGTTAATTTGAAATCGTGTCTTTGCAAATGGCTTGCCCCAAAGTGCCTTGCATGGCAGTAACTTTTACTCACTTCGAGCGGTGAAAGTTGCTGCATGTCTTTTCCACTCTTGACTACAAGTACTAATTCATGCGTTGCCGGTAATTGGTGTGGGTGGCTACAGCGGAGCCGCTTCTGAATAGTAGTAGGCCTGGGGTACATACATAAATTGTGTCGTAACGACATTTTCCCGAATATCCACAGCCCCAAGAGGATAACTTTTCTGATCCATACAAGTCTATGACCAGAGCAAAGAAATCGGATTCTTCCAATCCAACAAATCGACCACTTTAAAATGTTGACATTCGATGTCAAATTACTTATGATATGCACTAGTCCTTTATAACTCTGTCCTCATTTCCCAACAATTTACTGTCCCTTAACACATCATTTACACAATTGATTATGACCTTTGAATGAATCAACGGAATCAAACACCTTCCAATTTCGTTTTTTACTAAATAACATCAATAGCCTATTAGCGCCACAACATTTTTGGATTTCTTCAATTTACTAGAAGAACGTTCTAAGCTGCAGGCACCTTTAATGGGAAACAATCCCTCTCATCTGCAAACAAAATGCTTTTCGGGCCGCTTATTGGCTAGCAGATGATAAGAAAGTTCCTAATCTCATTGATTTTGCCATAACAATATAGCGTATGCACAAAATTATAACAGAACTAATTGCTTGATATACAAGCGAAAAGAAATAAGGTAAAGGAATTAAAGAAAGTTAGTAATAATAAGAACAACAGCGAAAAAAGAAACTAATACAGAAAAATAAAATAAAGCTCAACAAAAAACTCAAAAAGGAAATAATCTAATTTAAAATATACATTTCTTGCCTTTTTCTTAAATAGGAAACATCTTGTGTTAATCCCTGACACGATGGGGGAAAGTTTTTCAAGTGGTGTGGCCACCTAGCCCCAACTCACTGACCCGGAGAAGGTTTGCACAGCCATGGCGGTTAGCGATTCTCCCAGAGGTAACTGAATGTAAAAGATTTTAGCAAGAGTACAAAATAAAATGCATCGTAATTAGAGCACAATTTCCGAAACGTGTTGTGCAGGATATAACCGGAGCATTAGTTGTTGGCCTAGACTCTATGAAAAAATAGAAGATAAATAAGCGAGACAAATTAGAACTTGCTTCTTGAAATTAGAACTCAACTTGATGTTGCCTTAACAACTCGACACTCATCTGAGATAAACTGACTTATTGCTCTGATCTGGAAACCAATACGATAGCAACTAATGACAAATCAATAAATACCTACTGTAGTCGTGGCTGAAACTTTTGTATAACCACCGCATTGACACAATGCATTCACACATTCCCATGCTCGTACTCGTACATGCTCGCAAATAAATACATATTCATTCATATGTATGTACTCTGGTAGTAGTAGTATGTTTGTATGTTTGCAGGCGCTTATGCATATGTTATGCGGCGCATTTTCGTATATGCGAGGAGCGATTTCGAGAAGATGAATGCTGACAGCCAAATAGTTTGGTACAAAAATGTTTGGCATAGTTTGGCAAATGTTTCAAAAACTTTTGCCCAAAATCAAAGCGCAAGCGCCCAAAGCCGCAGAACGCATTTTGCTGCCATTTGCTGGATGCAGCTGGTGATGGAACTGAAGCTTTGGAGCTTGTTTGCGGTTTGCACAAAGATTATTTTGGAAGCGAACTGCTCGTTCGGATGCACACACACTCGTACATATTTACAAATGCAATTCTTGTGGGCAAATAGTTTTACAATAGCCGCGATCAGAAAAGGAAACGGAAACAGCACCAGAAACAACGGAGACAACTCGTAACAGCTTGTGGCAATAAATGCAGATGTATCTGCTGCTGCCGACTTTATATACTATACGAGTGTACGAGTATAGTAAATGGGTATTTATGTATTTACTGGTGCCACTCTGGCCACACACACGACAAATCTTTGTGCTCTAGCTCTAGCCAACACATATATTGCAGTAATGCCATTCAAAATATTCGACCAGAAACAGAAAAGTTATTGCGTTCTACACTATACATCAGCTGAAGCTAATGTGGTTGGACACTAGATTAATGGCAGTATAGTATGTATATATATGTATATGCATATGGCGTACTAAGGGAAGCGTATCGTTCACGAGCTTCACTGCAGTCAATACGTCAACGACGCTTTTTAGTGACATAATCATCAATTAATTCGCTATTAATAGGCTTCCCCCTCCCAAACTCGTGCTGCGCTCAAAACCGTCGAGGTTTTGGTCTTCATGTTTTCTTAGGCGACACTTGGGCCTACATGTGTTTGTGTCAACTTGATTGAAGAGTTCCCAACTATACACTCTGGGCATTACGAATATGCTATTTGTGTGTGTCTCTCTGTGTGTGCGTGTGTATTTAATTGGTCTGTGTCTTTAATTGCCAGTAAATTACGGCATCATTAAAAATTCAATTCATAACCCACTTTGACTTTAATTAATCAATCAAAAGTAAAAACTAACAAAATGTCAGTCTTATCGCATGCGTGTGCAACTCTTTGCTGCCATGAAGGTCGCGACTAATTTACCGACCCTACCAAATACATATCAAAGATACACTTCTAGAAAACTGTTTCACCTTGTCCGCCCCATTTTTAAATGAATATTTCTACACCAGGGAACTGTATGAGTACTTATGCTCGAATACATGAAACAAATAAGTAGCAAAAATCATAAAATCATCTAAACATCACACTAAGATATAAAATGTTGAACAACAGATTTTTCTCTGGAAACCGATGAAATCACAATCGATATATAGTATAGGTTGACATGTCTGAAATATATTTGTGGAAAATAGTGTTCGCCAATATATTCACTTAATTTAATGTAAAACATTTAACATCCGCATTTAAGCACAATTATAGTATATGAATTCAGAATTTATCCCAAGAAACATTTCTGTATTACCAAATCCTTAATTTGAGGTCTAAAACTATTGTCATAATACAGTACAGAGGTATGTGCTATCCCAAATAACTTTGATTTAATCTCATATTCAAATTGGATAAAAATTTGTGCGGCGATTCTTCCAAAACTTTCCCAATATACTTATAATTTAGAAGGCAATTTTTATCAGGATTTCACTTTCTAGCCGA